AATGGGAGAAAAATGGGAGAAAAATGGGAGAAAATGGGAGAAAATGGGGAAAAAATGAGAGAAAATGGGGAAAAATGGGGAGAAAATGGGGAAAAATGAGAGAAAATGGGGAAAAATGGGGAGAAAATGGGAGAAAATGGGGAAAAATGGGGGAAAATGGGAAAAAACAGGGGAAAAATGGGGAAAAATGGGAATTTGGGATCAGGGAGAGGAGCCAGTGCTCCAGGGGGGACGAGGGGAACACCTGGAAAAACGGGAGAAAACGGGGAGAAATGGGAAAAATGGGAGAAAATGGGAAAAAACGGGGAAAAAATGGGAGAAAATGGGAGAAAAATGGGAGAAAATGGGGAAAAAATGGGAGAAAACAGGAAAAAACAGGAAAAAATGAAAGATAAACGGGAAAAAACGGGGGAAAAACGGGAAAAATTGGGAGAAAATGGGGGAAAAATGGGAGAAAACGGGAAAAAATGGGGGAAAAAAAGGGAAAAATTGGGAGAAAATGGGAATTTGGGATTGTCTGGGATCAGGGAGAGGAGCCAGAGGTCCAGAGGGGCAGAGGGGAACACCTGGATTGGGGCAAAAATGGGAAAAAATGGGAAAAATCGTGTTTTGGGGGTCCCTGGGGGTTTACAGGGGGCGTTTGGGGGTTTCAGGGTGTTCTTTGGGGTTTCAGGGCGTTTTTGGGGATTTCAGGGAGTTTTTGGGAACTTCAGGGAGTTTTTGGGGTTTCAGGGGGTGTTTTTGGGGTTTCAGGGCTGTTCTTTGGGGTTTCAGGGTGTTCTTTGGGGTTTCAGGGGGTGTTTTTTGGGGTTTCCGGGGTGTTTCGGGGGTCCCGGGGGTCTCTGTCACCTCCTCAGGCGGTTTTGGGGTGCCCTTCTCCCCCTCCAGGGCCCGCAGCACGAAGCCCACCCCGTTCCAGACTTTGTTGCAGAAGCGGCGCTGAGTCAGCACCGAGGCCACGCCCAGACGGATTTCGGGGCCTGGGGGGGGAGTTTGGGGTCGGGGGGGGCACCAGGACCCCCCCAGTAACCCCCAGACCCACCCCAGTGCCCACAGGGGCTCCTCCCAGTAACTCCCAGTAGCCCAAAACTCCTCCCAGTAACTCCCAGTACCGCACTGGAGGGGGTCCCGGGGGGCTTTGGGGGGATTTGGGGGTCCCAGGGTGATTTGGGGGGGGTCCCAGTGGGTTTTGGGGTGGT